AGTTTCTCTTTCTTGGAGGAAGATTGAGCCCAAGGGGAAAGGGCCGTGTCCTCGGCGCCGGCAGTGCTGCTGCAGAGTGGGGGACAGAATCATCCTCTTTGGAGGTACCAGGTGAGTTGTGGGAGGTGGCTCCTCAAGAGGCTTTGCCAGTCCCTTCAGCACAGTGTCCCTTCACACTCTGACCCATCAGATGGACTTGAGAGGCACGTGGCAAGTGTCAGCCTATCTGACACGTGTAGGTAATCCTGTACATCAGGGTCCCCTGAAAAAAGGCCGTGGAAGAGATTGAAGGTGTCATGTAAGCTTGTGAAGCATCTGGTGACAAGCCATCTTGTACATGTAGAGACAGAAGGGTGTAACAGGCTGCTCAGGAGGGGCTGTGCAGTGCTCAAGCTTTCTGGTAAAGAGGTTGTGGGGATAAGAGAGGAGATCCTGCTGTCAGAAGGACACGTATCTCAGTCTGCTGTGCCAGAGCAGACCTCAAACTGACTTATCTTCACCTACATGCTGCCCTGCTTTTCCCACCAGAGCTTCTTTCTTCCATTGGCAAGTGTGGGTTCTGCTGCCAAGCTGCAGTGGGATGTCAGCTCAGCTGGGAGCTGTTTGAGGAGCCTACACACATGATAAGACAATGTTGCCTTCTGCGCCAGTGTTCCTTAGCAACGTTCCCATTCACAACAGGGACCTGGTGTTATGGATTTAGCTGTCAAACACTGCAAGTGATACTGTCAGGGTGCAGGGCAGCTGGATGTGGCCAAGAGCCTTAACAGCTGCTAAAAGAAAGGAAGTGGCCTATCACCAGGACACACTCTATGCTGTCTGGAGTGACAAATTGCAGCTCTGGAGCAGAGTCCCGCTTGCCAGTGTCTACCTTGCAGAGACATCTTAAATGCTTTCAGCTCTCCACATGGTTGGGAAAGCTTTGGGGCTCTCTCTGGGATCTTGACAGTAGCTTTTTGGGGATGTTTCTGAAGCAAACTTGGGGCACAGAACCAAGGGTGACCTGACCATACCAGTGTGTGATGGGGTGAAGGGGGAGTGTGCTTAGCTGTAGGATGTCCATGTGACTTGGAGGGAGTGCTCAGTGCAGGTGAGGTATGCAGAGGTGTTGAGTTTATCCAGTCTCCTCAAAAGATACTGGCTGCTGCTCAGTGCAGCAGAAGGTAGGGCTTGGTAGGGCTTTATGGGAGTTTTGGGTGGTCCCAGATGCTGTGCTGTGTGGATTTGTGTTGCAGCAGCAGCAGCTGAACTTTGATATTAAGCCTCGGCACTCCTGGGAAATGCTAGCAAACCACAACAAATTTGACACCAGCTTTTTGGAGTTTGGTTCACCCTTGCCAGGCAATGCAGCAGTGCCTTGTCTTCTCCATGAACCACTTCAGAATTCAGCTTCTTTCTTAGGTCAGGCTCAACCCCAATACAGGCACATTCATCAGCACTAGTGTGGGCTGGGAAGAGCTGCTGGCAGCCAGGAATGCAGCCTGCTTGAGCTGGAGGGAGGGTCTTGGGGAAGTGGGAGGTGGGGGTGGGCCATGCTCGCTTCCTGTAACAGTTATCAGGTGTATTCTGGAGCTGCCTGGCGAGATAAGAAGTTTTCCAGGAAGTCGTTGTAATGGAGAACTCCCAGCGGTCTGCCTGCTGACCTGTGCTCCCCTGGCTGGGAAGGGGGAGGGCTTGGGGCTGTCCTGCAGGGATTCTCAGAGGATGAGCCGGCAGGCTCAGCTTTCTAGGGAACAGCGCTGGGGGATGGGCAGCAAAACCCCTTTGTGTCTGCCTTTCCAGGATTCACACATCCTGCTGAAGAGGCAATTCTGCAGGCTGCTTGCTCCTATGGCATCCAGAAGCTTTGTTTCTTTGGTAGTCCTGGCCAGAGCTTCGTCTCTTTGCCCCAGCTGTGGTCCCTCACTGTGGCCAGGAGCAATCCCTCACTTGTGTCCCGTTTAAGGGACCAGGAAGCTTGGTGTTCCCATTAGCTGTGTCACAGTTGTGGCTCTGGTCTGGTTTCTTCCCAAGCCCACCAGCAGATTCAGCCCATTCAGTGTGCAGAGACCATCCACAAGGAAGAAGTGGGGGGAGAAGGAATGCTATGAAACAGTTCAGCTAAAGAGATGCTGATCCGGATTTGGCTTGAGACTCTGTGTTTTCCCTGACAAGGCTTAGGAATCCTGGCTCTGGTGAGAGAATAGGGGCTGTCACTGAGTGCAGGGTGAGTTGTTTTGCAGCTGGAATGAGCAGTTTTGCTGGGCTCTGGCTGGCAAAGGTGTGCCCTGCACGCTGCTGCCTGGGAATTGCAGGGGGTTGCCTGGTCTTGAACTCCAGGCTCACCCTGCTACTTTCCTTTTGCTGATTAAAGCCACAGACGTGGTGCCTGCTGGCTTTCCTTTGATAGATAAGGGATGGTCTGGGGTTTCCTGTGACGTGGATGTGAGATTAGATTGTGGTGTGGTAAGCACACGAGGTGGGGTTAAGGGGGCTCCTGCCTGTATCCGGGCAGATGGGTCCCATCAGCAACAGGTCTTCTGTGCCAGCAGTGAGCTGTGCTCTCAGTTTGGCCTGAGGTTGTGGGGACCTGGGGGAGCAGGTGCTGCCTCATGTCCCGTGAGTGTGAAGTTTAGTGGCTCATGGCTGGGGAAACAAGTGACACTGTGGCAAGGAGTCACTGCATGAGGTCGGTCCCAGCTAAGAGGTGAGGGCACACCAAGTTGGTTTGTCACAGACCGAAGCAGGACTTAAAACATTTTTCCTTCCTTTCAAATTCTCCAAACAACCATCAGCCAAGGGAGTATTTTCCCCTGTTTCAGCACAGGCTGATCTGTCTGTGCAAGGAGATGTAGTGTCCAGTTTCTCAGGTGCTTTGGTTGTTCCATCAAGACCACTGTGGCAGGAAACCATAGGTGAGGCTGTCTGTTCACTAGAAATGCCTGGTGCTGTAGTTCCTCATCAGCATTCCTGGACCAACATCAAATGGGAGTATCAGCAAATTGGAATTGGTTTAAAATGACTGCTGCATTGCTCAGTGCTCAGCTACAGTCTTCTGAAATGCCATCTCCATTTTGGCACAATCACTCCAGCTGTGGCTGGAGTCCAAAGTGATTCCTGAGTCAGACTGAGAAATGTCTGTGCTTGCCCTGCCATGCAGATGTTTTCTAGCTGCTTTCTCTACACTCCTCTCACAGCATCTCAGTGGCCAAGCTGAACTAAATGCAGTAGATCTTAACTACATGAGAACAGGAGTGATGGACAGGTGAGGTGAGGGGGAGGCTCATGGCTGGAATCATCATGGTCATCCATGAAAAGGAGGCAGATCTCCCATGCCCTGCAGAGGAAATAGTGTGGGTTTCTGCTCCCTGGCTCCTGTGCAGCCCTGCCTACTCTGCAAGGAGCTGACTTTGAGTGCTCCTTGGGATTTCAGAGGGCCAGGAGGGATCACAGGGCCCCTGCCTGGGACAGGGAGGCCAGGGACCTTCCTGGGCTTGCTCAGCCCTTGGTGAGCTGGTGTGTGAGAATTTTGGCACTGACTGACACACTGTGCTTGGTTTCTGCAGCCCATCTCCGGAGGAGGGAATGGGTGATGAATTTGACCTGATGGATCACTCAGATCTCTACATCCTCGACTTCAGTACGTGAGCACTTCCTGCCCAGCTTATACCTCTTACCACAAGGTGCCCTGTGAGCAGGCCCTGCTGTGAAGCACCTAAATGTGCTCTCTGTGGCTGTAGGTGCCATGTCCTGGAGCCAGACAGCTGTGTCTGACCAGTGTGCTTGGCTCAAGGCAGAGCAGCCAGAGGTGCAGCCATGCTTTGTGCACTCCTGCATGCAAGACCTCTTGTGGGAGCACCCCAGCCTGTCCCTGGTGTGCACTCTGTCTTGTCCCTGAGACAAGACTGCCCTGTTTCCTGTGGCACTGACTGCATGATGCTGGGGCCTCCATGGTGTCCAGTCAAAGGCTGCTGTAGCTAAACTGCTTTCTTTTCCCAGGCCCCAGTCTGAAGACGCTGTGTAAGCTAGCAGTGATTCAGTACAGCCTGGACCAGTCCTGCCTTCCCCACGACATCAGGTATGGTGTGCCTTGCTGGGACCTCACCCTGGGTGCTCCCTGACCTTGGGCTGTTCCAGCCCTGGCTGAGGGCTGCCCAGGGCCCTGGGCACTGTGCACCTTTGTGGGCTGGGCTGGAGACTGTAGCTGAGGCTGACATGAAGCAAAGCTGCTCTAGCCCTGGGCATTGTGTTTGTGCTTTCTCTCAGTGTGTATCCTCTTGGTGTGTTACAGATGGGAGCTCTCAGCCATGACAACAAACAGCACCATCAGCCGCCCCATTGTCTCCAACCAGGGCTGAAGAGAACTCGTCCTTCTACCACCCTGCCCTCACCCCTCCACATACTGACCTCTTGCTCCACTGCCTGCATGAATTTTTAGCCCTTTCAAGCAAGGAATGTGTGAGCTCGGTTTGTCTTGCCCTAGCTAGGCCTCCCTCTGCCCTTGTCACACTTTGGGCAGCACAAGTGGACAGGCAGAGCTGGCCACTGAGGGAAAAACTGTCTGGCCCCAGCAGCACAGCTGTGACCCCTCTCCTCACTGGTGGTTCTAGAGCTTCCTTTCCCTTTGCCTGTGGAACTGCAGCTGTGCTGTCCGGTGTCCGGCCACTTTCCAAGGGCCTGAATCAACTCTTACCACCAGCCATGGCCCTGGGGTTGATGTCAGGGTCAACCTGAACTGTTCTGCATTGCCTCAAGAGAGCAGGAACCTCTACACCTGCTCCTGCCAGCACTGACAGCTTCCTGGCACTAAAGGGCAGGCCCCAGCTCCAAGCTGAGCCCAGTGTGGGAGCCTGGGCCCAGCTGGACACTGCCCAGCTCCCACTGTAAAACAGCAACTGGGGGAAGTTTTATAAATGGTGAGGCAGACGTGGTTTCTGTGTGTCCTAGCAGATGAACTGGGGGAGAAAAGGCTTGAGAAGGGAGAGACTGAACCAGGTGCTTTTCCCTGAAGCTGCTGCAGGCCACTGGTGGCTTGTGGCAGCAGCAGGCAGTGGCTGATGTGAGCCACAGCCCTGCCTGGGGTGGGGAAGGGAAGCTGGGCCCCCCCAGCAGCACTGCCATGGGGTACCTGCCTCCTGCCCAGAGCTGTGCTGTCCTGCAAGAGGACAGAAGGAAAATGCTGTATGTCTTCTGGGCTGCACTGCCTCAGGTAGGTGGGTGCTCTGGACCTTCCTGCTTCAGGGCTGGAGGTGGAGGGATGCCTGGGACAGCCTTCCTGGGTGGCACAGAGGGCTGTGCTGAAGCCCTTTCCCATCAGCGTGAGATGTCCGATGTGAAGAGGAGCTCCAGTGGCAACTGTAGTGGGGCTAGAGCAGAGAAAGCTGAGGAAGCACTCAGGGCATGTCCTGGGATGTAAAGTCACAGGGGCTGCTGAGATGGTGGTGGCTGCATGCCAGGAACCTGGGTGGCAGAGGGCCCAGGCTGTCTCCCCTGCTGCCCTGAAGGCTGGCACATGGCCAGGGATGAGCGCTCATCCAGCAGCAGAGGGGTTGCAGAGGTGCCTGGGCTCCTCAGCTTGCAGGAGGTGGCCAATGCAAGCACAATGGAGGAGTCTGGAGTGATGTGAGAGCAGTGAAACCCCGTGGCAAGAGAACAGAAAGCCCCACAATGGTGACAAGAGCTTGTTCTTCACACACTGGCAGCACCTCACTGTGAAGGTGATGAGCATCATTGGCCTGGAGGGAAACAGGGTGTGCTGTGACAGCACATCTGGCTGAGGGGGAGCAGCCCCAGCCTGGCCTCATTCTTTGTGGTCCTTGGCACCTGCAGGTTACCAAGAGGACTTAGGAGAACATTTCCCATGTGTTGTCCAGCAGCTCTAACTCCCTCCTTCTATCAACTGCCTCAGCCACAGGCCCTCTATCAAGCTGTGAAATAAATGGTGCAGTTTTTTTGCTGTGCACTAAAGCACCAAGCGTACTCTCCTTGCAGGCTGCCAGGCACTCAGAAATGCCCCCTAGCACCCAGAGTCCCTGTGCTGGGCTGTGGTGCTGAGCACAGAGGCTCTCAGTTCTGTCACTGGGAGGAATCTCAGTCTCTGGGGCAGCGAGTGGAGACAATCAGCCCCAGAAAGGCTCAGCACCCACTGCCAGCTGCCTCTAGGAGAGCAAACCTTTGTCGGGGACAAGTCACCTCTGGGAAGGAAAGGGGCTCGTCAGGGAGAGGGGTCACTGACACCCCTCTCCTCTTCAAGGGTTCTCTTGGGTTCAGGGGTGCTGTGGCTCTAACCTGCCTCTGCCAGGAACCCACTGCAGGCCTGGGCATGGCACACTGCTCACCACCGTGGTCCTGGTGTCTCCACTTCTATTTTCTTTCTTATCAGCTCCTTTTCCCAGCACCCAGGTCAGTCATCAGTGATGCTGGAGAGCAGCTCCCAGTCAGGCAGACTTGACACAGGATGTTCTGCAGGGCTGGCAGGAGCTGGGCAGATGTGTGCCCCACAGGGAGATCCCTGCTGCCTTTGTCACTGCCCCCTCCTGAGCGGCAGGTTTGCTTTAAAGACCCTGGCTTCCTTTTATTACTTCCCCTCTCAAATTTCAACTGGTTGCAAGGGCTATTTTTAGCAGCCTGCCTTCTAAAAATAGCCCCGAGCTGTTTGGAGTTGCGTCACAAGAGGTAATTCTCGCCCGTGAGTGGCTTGGCCTCTGCACCCCAGGAGGCTACAAAAGGAGGCCAGGAGCAGCAGGGTCAGCAGGTTCAGCCACAGCCGGAGGCGAAGGAGGCAGCGGTTCCCTGCCAGCGGTTCCCTGCCAGCGGTTCCCTGCCAGCTCCAGCCACCCCAGCCCCGGCAGCATGACCATCTTCTGCAGCCACTGCCACCGGCCACTGCAGGCAGAGATGAGCTGCCTGCCCGCGAGGGCCAAGCAGGCGCCCAGCGCCCCGAGGCCGTTCAGGTGAGCTCTCTCCCACCTCCTGCTCTCCCTCAGGGCTGCGATGGCCTCCCAGAACCCCGGGGTAGCTGCTGTGGGCTCTGATGGCCCTTGCAAGGTGCTGACACCAGCCCAGAACAGCGGGACTGCCAGCTAGTGCATGGGGAGGAGGTGCAGGAATTTGGAGGGGAGGAGGTATTTTAGGTGGTTTAGGAGGAAAGGCACATTGTACTGGGCTGGGGTGCGCATTCCAGCACCGGATGTACTTTCCATCCTGGTGGGGAGTTGTGTCACATGGGCTCCCCACCAAGGCACAGGTCATTGTCCAACCTGGTGCCCAGAAGGAGAGGCACCAGCCACACCAGCAGCGTGTGCCCCTGGGTAGGCTTGAGCACCTCTGCCTGTGCCCACAAGGTTTGCTCTCCTAGAGGCAGCAGCTGGCACGGGTGCTGAGCATCTCCACTCCATATGCCCGAGCTGGCAATTCTTCCCACAATGACAGGCAGGGAATGCTGTCCCTTGCCCTCCCTGGACACGTGTCCCAGATGGTTGGCTTTGCAGGTCAACCAAGAGCGCTTCCAAGGCTCGCCGAGACCAGATCAATGCGGAGCTGCAGGCGCTGCGCTCCCTGCTGCCCATCTCTGCCCAGGAAAAGGAGCGGCTCTCCTACCTGCACACCATGGCTCTGGTGTGCCTCCGGCTGCGGGGGGCTCAGCTCTTCCCTCCAGGTACCCTCAGCACTGCTGTACTCCACACTCGCTTGGCTCTGTGTGGGGCACTGCCCCTGCCTCATCCAAGACAACCCTTCACCCTCATCCCCCTGCAGGCTTGGCTCCTCCTACGGGACCAGCCCTTGGCACAGAACTACTCTCCCTGCTCCCGGGGTTTCTGCTTGTGCTCTCAGCAGACAGCAAGCTGGTCTACATCTCAGAGAATGTGGCTCAGGTCCTGGGCCTCTCCGTGGTAAGGCCTGCTCACTGGGCATTTGCAGTCACCATCCCCATACCCATCCTGGTGCCTTCATTGCCTACACGGCACGCTGCCCCAGCAGACACTGGGCTGTGACTTCAGCAGGCTGTGCACCCACGATGGCAGCCAGGGCCCACTGAGACAGGCACAGTCTCTGAGGGCAGCCCTCTGTTTGTCAGGTGGAGCTGCTCGCCCAGGGGGACACGGTCTTTGACATCCTGGATGGGAGAGTGGGAGAGGATGTGCACAAGAAGCTCCTCCTTGCCCGGGAGGAGCCTGGCAGGGGTAAGGGAGGCCTCGGATGCCATCTCATGGATCTTGCCACTCTGCTCTGGCCCTTGGCTGTAGTTTGAGAGCAGGGCCACCCCTGCTGGGAGCAGAGTGAGGGAGATCCTGACCCACTCTGAACGGTGTGTTTCCCTGCAGAGGTCACTTTTGTCAGCGAGATGCGCACGTCCAAGGCCTTCCGGCTGCAGCACGGGGGCAATCGGGTCGTGGCAGTGTGCGGGCGCTTTGTGGCCCTGCGCTGGCCACCCTCCCCCTCCACCACAGCCTTCCTGGCTCTCTGCACGCCCCTTGTGCAGTCACCCACAGATGGCGAAGCTGCTTCCCAGGATGACATATTCCAGAGCATGCATCTCCTGGACATGACGTTTATCGATGTCACGGAGAGGTGAGGGGTGCCTGCTCGCACCACAGCCCCAGCTGTACATCTCAGGCAGCAAGAATCGTTTCCCTTCACCAAGCTTGTGTATGGGATGCAGGCTCCGTACAGCACTCAGTCCCCACTCCCCTTGTCTTTCCCAGTGTCACCTACCACCTCGGCTACCACCGGGAGGAGCTGGTCGGTCAGTCGTGGTACAGCCTCCTGCACCCTGAGGATGCTGAGCTGGCAGCTGCCCAGCACAGGGCCGTGGGTGAGTGTCACACCCAGGAATGTGAGTGCTGTCCCCTGGCTCCATGGTCTGGTTATGCCCGAAACGTGGCTATCCGGGACAGCAGCGACAAAGGGAATTCAGCCCTCCCTGTTGTGACTCCCTGCTCCAAAGGGATGAAGTGGAGAAGTGATTACATACCCCATACACTGTCTATAAGTAGTTTCCAAGCTGGGGGTGGGCATCCTGCTTTGCCACAGTATACAGAAGAAGGACAAGCCCACCTGAGCCCCATCTCTTTGGGAGAGCAGGACTGCTATGGACCTGACTCTGCTCTGTGTTGCTTCTGTCCTGCTGGGGCCGGCGGCAGAGCCCATCGGGGCAGCCTGCGGGGCTCTCCCGGCACCCCGGGGCCGTGCCCTGCTGCCGGCTCACGCAGTCCCTTCCCTTGCCCGCAGCGCTGGGGGTCGGGGCCGGGCCGGCAGCGGGGACCGCCGTGCTGCGAGTGCTGCGCAGGGACCGCGCCTGGAGCTGGCTGAGCGTGTGGGCGCGGCGGGACGGCGGCTGCATCACCTGCACCTGCCGCTGCCTCAGGTGAGCGGGATCCCGGGGGTGGTTCTGCATCACCTGCACCTGGCGCTCAGCCAGGGTCCCCAGGCCGTCCCTTACCCCGTGTCCGCCGCAGGGAGGAGGAGGCAGCCCACCTGCGCGCCCGGCAGCCCCGCGCCGCCGCCCCGCCCGCGGGCCGGGATCTGGGCCGGCTGGCCGAGCAGCTCCGCGCCCTGGCCGACAGCCTCTCGCCGCCGGCCGCCGCCGTGCCCTGCCGCTGGCCTCGGCCCGAGGAAGCCGAGGACGATGCCTCCGTCTGCCTTGGGAACTCTCTGCTGCACCCTCCTGCCCAGTTCCTTCGGTTTCCCTTCGAGCAGAAAATAGGGTGCAGCATTCCAAGTGTGCTCCCACAGGTGTGGAGTGTTCAGGGATGCTGATACCCCTTGGTCTGCTGGCTGTACCTGTCCTAATGCAGGCCGCTGTGTGTAACCACATTTCAGCCTGCTGGTCACTTCTGACAGCTGTAGCTGATCCAGCTGGAGGCCATGGCAAGCCTTCGTTCCGTACACTTGGTGCTCGCATTAGAAACTTAGTCTGGGCTGCGATAAATCCGCCACCAGGACGGCTCAGTCCAGCAGCGCAAAGGGATCCAGATCTTGCACTTAAAAACACTTATTGACTACTTAGCTGGATATCGCCAGGGCCTTTGTGTACGTGACCCATTCCTCAGAAAGGAAGGATTTTTTCTTAAAAAAAAACCCAAAAAACAAAACAAAACAAAAAAAAAACCAACCCACCACAATAAACTCCGCTCCCCCACGTGACCGCTTCTGCTCCGCTTCCGGTTCCGCCGGTGCCGCGCGGGCCGTTCCGGGGGCGATGGGGCCGCGCCGTGAGGGGCCGGGATGGGGACGGGGACAGGGCCGAGGACGGGGACGAGTCGCCGCCGGCGTCGCCACAGAGAGCGAGGAAGAGGCGGCGGCGGAGCAGGCTCTCGGGAGGCTGGAGCCGGCGGAAGAGAGCTCTGGCTCCAGCGACGAGAGCGACGACGGCGGGAGCGTGGCGGGGGCTGGCGGGAAAGGTGAGGGGGCCCGGCGGGAGCGACTCCGGGAAAGGCGGCAGCCTCGGCTCCGGGCGCGGCTCCCGGTGCTCGTTTTGTGGGAAAGGAGCTGCCAAAGAGCTCGGTGCCCTCTGGTATCCCAGCTCCTGCCCAGCTGAGAGCTCAGCATCAGCAGCAGGGTTGGGTGAGAGGTCCCTGGAACAAACTCGTGTAGGGGCCGCTTGTCCCCAGTGTCCTTCCCAGTGCGGGGAATCACAGAGCCATTAAATGGTTTGCTTGGAAGGGACCTTAAAGCTCACCCGTTTAACTCCACCCGCCCTGCCTTGGCAGGGGCGCACCTCGCTCCATGGCAGGTTGCTGTGGAAGATGTCACATGTCGCACATCTCGGGGACAATGTGTGTGCCAGTTCAGATGTGCAGGAGCTGGAGAGGCCCTCACAGCACAGCAGAGGGGAAGGAGCAGGCGATGCCCGGCTGTGTGGGCTGAGGGTTCTCATCCACTGCAGCCAACACAGTTTGTTTTCCTCGTCTCAGAACGATCCGAGAGAGAATGAAAACCTTACAAAAAATACAACAAAAGCCCTTGAAGGGAATCGTGAGGGAGTGAGCACTGGTGTTAGCTGCAGGCACAACATAGCGTGTCACGGGTGTGAGGAGTCACTGGCTCCTTGTGAAAGGGTCTCCAGGGTGTGTCTGTGGGGAAGGCACATCTCTGGAGGTGACATCTTGGCAGTGGGATTCAGAGGTGGGCAAGGTGCCTCGCCATCTGTTGTAGGCATTTTGTTTTCCTCTGGTGAGGAAATGGTGAGCAAAGCTCAGAGGGAGGATCACTGACAGGCACTCTTTCCTTCCCACAGCTGGATGGGAATGGGAACAGCAGTTTTGCTTTTGCCATCTGTCAGGGCACTCTGTGATCTTGTTTCTGGAGCAGGAGGAGTTCTGTTGGAGTCCAGCACTGATTTTGTCTCAGCAGGAAACGACTGGGCAGATATCAGGCATTTCTTTAGGCCATCTGTGTGCTCTGCAGGTTGTATAGCTCCCTGCAGGTTCAGCTGAGGAAGGCACAAGGTGTCCATGTGCCACAGGAGTCTGTGGGAGGAGAGGAAACACGAGGAGGCTGTGCTTGAGAGCAGGAAATGCCCCTGTTATCTGCAGGTAACAGTAGCTTATCAAGAGGTGCAAAAAGAAGGAAACAATCCACAAAATAATGGATGAAGGGAAAAAGTGGCAGGAGGGAAAATTAAATGGACAACAGAGACAGCAGAGAACAGGTAAGTTATATACGAAGGGGAAAAAAGGAATGAAAAAATTGGGAAATTAGGTCCTCAAGCAAGAATGCAAGGAACAAGGAAAATAAGCTCATCCTGCCTTTTAAACTAGAACCTTTTCATACACACAGTTGCCAAATCTGCTGCCCAGCAGTGAATGCCTGCTGGGGCCATTCACTTCTGCTCCAGAACAGGCTTCTTTTATTTATAGTGATGTTTTTATCACTGTGAGTGGTTAGTTCACTCTTCTAGAAACAGGCAGTAGGATGTATTTTGTGGACTGATAGTACCAAGTGGAAATCATTTTCCCTATCAGGTTTTAGGTAGTCAGGTTTGGTCTCCTGTACCAGTGATGAAATACTTTATCATGGAAACTCTGCATGCCTTTGCTTTGTCTGATTTATACCAAATCTCCTTTTGGCATCATTTTATATGGTGTCTTTATCTCATTTTCATTGAAGTCTTTGCTATTGTAAACAGTATTGTTTTGGAATTTCAGCCAAATGGAATATTGGAGTGCAAGTGATGGTGCCTTGTCTTCATCAAGTGCTGAGAGTATCTTCCACATCATAGTTCCTTTATTTTAATGCTTTATTTGTCCTTTTGGCTGTCCTTGTTCAGAATTTGGACTGGGGGCAGTGTTTAGGGGAAGCAGTGCAATGAAATCATGCTGTATTCACATTTCCTTTGTCCCTTGTGCAGCAGACTGGATAGTCCCTGTTCCTGTATCCCACCTCAGAGCACTAATGAGCATCATCAGAGCAGAGTTCCTGAGCATTCAGAACAAGCAAAATGAAAACATTTACTGAGGCAGCTCTTGGCTGTGCCCATGATGCTTTCTGGATGATGAGAGTTGTTTCTGAAGGTCTTGGTTATTGCCAGGATGAGAGTGCTTGGGATGAGTCCATGCTCTGAGCCAGTGTGACTGACCTCATGCTGCTTCCTGAATTTGGCAGAGCACACACAAACCTCACTCATGGGACAGGGTTTTGTGTTTGTGTGGGAAGGGTTTGGGAGTGAGTGGGCTACAAGGCTTTCCCTTCCAGAAGGGACACAGTGCAAACCCTGAGTGGAATGGGTATCTCCAAGTGCTGGCTGAAGAAATGCTTTCAGTTGTTGGTTCTGAACACCTAGAAGTCCAAATCTAGAATAAAGAATAGTATGATAATAGAGATGATAATATTTTTGCATTCTGGTTATAAGAAGCATTAAAGGTTACTGACATTAAGGGATATTAAAGAAACATTAAAGTGGGAAAGTCAGGACTGAGAGGTGACCCCTCAGAATTCGCAGTGCCCATTGTAGAGCTCGTGCTGCTCTTTGTACCAGGTAAAAGCTTTGTACTGGTCTTGTGTGTGCTGTTGAGTGGAGAGAGAAGCAAAGACACTCTGGGGAGAGGGGGAGGCTGCTCTGTTCTAGTGATAGAGACTGAAGTGATCAGCGGGAGAGGAATCAGAGGCTGAGAGATGCAGTGGTTTCTTCCTGCTTTGCAGTTGTACAGGGATGGCACCACTATGCTTGTGTCACTGTCCCAAGCTCTGAGGCATCCCTCTTGGGGGAGTTTGGGGGTAAGAAGTGCCTTGAGAAGCTGTTCAGTTCAGGTGTGCCCTGTGCTCTCTTCCAGATCAGTCTGACATGTCTTTCGAGGAGCTCCTGCGGGTGCAGAGTGATGCAAGGACGAGAGTGAGCAGGAAGGTGCCTGGAGGGAAGAAAACTGCAAAGCCTGCCAAAGCTACACTGAAGCAGCAACAAGGCAAAAAGGGGTAAAGAGGCTCTTTTGTGATCAGAAAAATGTGTATGTGTGCTCTCTGCATTCCAGAAATTACACTGGGAGCTCCTCACGGCAGTGATGTTGCCTTGGAGCTGGCATAGATCTCCTTTAATGTACTGGACAATAATGCCTGTCACTGTAGTTTCATTTGGGAATGGTCTGGGGCTGTTTTCAGAGCTCTTAATATCCTGTTCTCTTCAAATCCCCAGCAGCCACCTGTCACTTGACAGTTAAATTGGCACTCAATGCCTTTATACCCTCTAAATTAAGGCACTTGTAACCCTTGGCATGGTGTGCTTCTCAAGCTCTATGACAGTGTCCACCATGACCTGAATAGTTGCCCTGCTGGTTCCTAAACCCCTTCCAGCTTATCAGTATCTTCTGCCTGGTTCTCACTGGCTGGAGTTACAGTCACAGACAATTGTTCTGGAATTCCATTCATCCTTCTGTTGCTGTCTCATCTGTGGCTTGTCCGTGTTCATTTTCCTTTATTCTCTCTCTACAGTACTTGCCATCACATACTTTTCCCTGTATTCATCACAACAAAAGCTATCATACCTTTTTACAGTTCTCCACAGGCCCCCACTGGTAACAGCAATACCCTTACCCCTTATTTGCAGTAATTAGGTAGTTTTCAGTCCTCAGAGTGGCACCCAGGTGATTTGAATGGGTTTCTCTCTTACACTGGCACTCCCCATCTTATTTCTGAATCTCTGCTCAATGCAGAAGCAGAGAACACAAAATACATTTCTCCTGCACAAAGCAGAGAACACAAAATACATTTCTCCTGCCATAAAGAGTTGGTTAGGATAACTTTCTGCTTTACATTTTACCCAAGACTCCGGGGGATTTTGTGTAGTGCAACATCTTCTCTCAGTGTCTCTATTTCTGCCACACAGTTTGCATAATTCTGCTTTTGTTTAATTCCTCTAATCCTTTAAGTAATGTATTGCTGTAAATCCCACATGCTTTTTCTCTCATGTTTTTGTTATGGAAGTGAGCTTCTTAAAGAAAGGGCTTCAGGGAAATCCCCTGGCACTGAGCTGGTTTCAGCAGTGACTCCAGAGCATTGTGCAGGGTTGTAGCCTCAGAGGATGTGAGAATACACTGAGCACTGCCCTGAGAGGGATTTGGAAAACTTGTGCCTGTGGGGTTGTGCTCCTCCCCAGCATCACTTGTGGCGGGCTGTGGGTGCTCTCAGCAGCTGTCCCTCAGCAAGTTTGCTGTCAGCATAAAGATGGGAGGAGTAGCTGATCCACAGAGGGCTGTGCTGCCGTTCCATGAGACCTGGACAGGCTGGGCACAAAGAACCTCCTGGAATTCAGCAATGGCAAGGGCAGGCCCCTGCACCTGGGGGGGAACAAGCCCAGGCACCAGCACAGGCTGGGGTGACCTACAGGGCAGCAGCTCTGCAGAGAAGAACCTGGGGGTCCTGGTGGACAACAAGCTGTCCTTGGACCAGCAGTGCCCTGGGGGACAAGAAAGCCAACAGGACCCTGGGCTGCATTAGGAACTGCAGTGCCAGCAGGTCAGGGAGGGGATCCTGCCCCTCTGCTCTGCACTGGTGAGGCCAGTCTGGAGTGCTGTGCCCAGTTCTGGGATCCTCAGGACAAGAGCGATGAGGAGCTCCTGGAGAGGATGAATCCACTAGAGGGCAAAAAAAAAAATAAAAATTAGGGAACTGGAGCATCTCTCTTGTGACAACAGGTTGAAGTAGCTGGGACTGTTTAGCCTGGAGAAGAGATGACTGAGAGGGGACCTTATCACTGGAAATATGTAAAGGGCAGGTGTCAAGAGGATGGGGCCAGGCTCTTTTCAGTGGCATCCAGTGACAGGCAAGGGACAATACTGAAACACAGGGAGTTTCACCTGAATATGAGGAAAAACTTCCTCACTCTGAGGGTGACTGAGCACTGGAACAAGTGCTCAGTGAGGTTGTGGAGTCTCCTTCTCTGGAGATATTTAAAACCCACCTGGATGCAATCCTGTGCAATCTGCTCTAGGTGACTCTGCTTTAGGAAAGGTTCCTTCCACCCCCAGCCATTCTGTGACTTCATGAGAGGAATAATCAGTACAACACATTATTGATGCAGGTGGTGGGTTTTCACTTGATACAGAGGAGCTGTTCCAGGTTCTTTGTAGGGTTGTTTTAACCACATATTGATATATTTGGTTGTTGTAGCCTTCTGTGGCTTTTGACTGAGCCACCTCTTTGCTTTCTATATCATGGTAAGGATTGAGCTGGGAGAATCTCTTGTGCAGTAATGTTCTTCTGAGGGTCTGGATGACCTTCCAGCATATTAGCTTGGGCCTCATTCTGACATTTGCTCTTCTTAAATCCATTTTTCTTGTTTTCAGGCCATTGGAGATGTCAGCCAAGAAGCCTGTACCTTTCCTGCGACAAGTGGTCCCTGTTAGGAAGAAGGTGGGTGCTGCCCCTCCTCAGCTCAGGGCACACACTTGGGAATGGGGCTGCTGCAGATGGCACAGGGTACTCCTGGAGGACAGGGCTGGACCACTGGGGAGTGCAGACAGTGACAGTGTTTGTCTGGGGAGAACAATGGGTGTGTTGGAGCAGCTGCAGGTTAACTTGAGAGTTTATGACCCAGATGTTTCTAGAAGGTGCAATGACAGCCACCAATGACAGTTCCACTGCAAACCATGGTTATTGTTCAGTTCTAATCCCAGAAGTTCAGATGTCCATCTACTTTCCAATCTGAATCTAACTTTTGACTTATCATTGCTGGATCATTGGAATATGGTAATTTCCACAGTTAGAGACCTCTTTTTGTCCCTCCCTTTTTGCATGACCTGACCCAGTTAATCTGTGAAAATCTAGATAGGTATGAGTTCCCAAATCCATCACCTTGACAACACATTCATCCAGCTCTTGGTCTGGGAGTTGCAGGTGTTTGACAGCAGCACTCCTGCTGTTATTCTTGGATATTCCTGGGTGGCAGACTGGCACATGGAGATGCCTGTTGCATGATAAACTTGATGCAGGCATGAGCTTGGGGATGCCACCTTGACCATCATACTCGATCTATGCCAACTGCAGATATTTCAGTGGTGGGAGCATAACATTGCTGGGGGGAAAAATGGCTGATACAAAAAGGGAGAGTAAGCAGGCTGTTAACAGGGTAACACTGGCTACAGCTCTTGCCTTCCCTGCTGACAGGTCCAGAGAGACCCTCGATTTGATGACCTGTCTGGAGAGTATAAGCCTGAAATATTTATGAAGACATACAGCTTCCTGGACAGCATCAAGACGCAGGAGAAGGAGGTGATGCTCTGTGCCTGTCCTTGCCTGGAAGAACCTTGCTTGGCAGGGGCTACTTCTTCAAAAGCTTTTCACAGGGGAGGTGACAGGCAGGCAGTGATGCAGCTTTCTCCTCTCTTCTTCTTCAGATGGTTCAGAAGCAGCTGAAGAAATGCCGGAACGTGGAACAGAAGGAGAAACTCCAGCAGCTCCTGAACCGTATGGTGAGTTCAGTGAGCATCTCCTCTCTGGGGGGCACTGGGAGAGAGGATGTGTCACCTGAGGTCTGCCTCAGTGCTGACACAGGCCATCCTTTTTGCACAGACACAGCAGGAACAGGCACAGAAAAAACAGCAGAAGTTGAGAGAGAGGGAGCTGTCTTTGAAAAGACAACAGAGGGAATTGGCCAAGCAGGGAAAGAAACCTTTCTTCCTAAAGAAATGTAAGTACTCGGAGTGAGCATGCTGCAGGGGGATCTAGAGGGAGAACTGCTGGCAGGAATTCAAGCACTGGGAGCAAGGTGTCCATACTATTCCACACAGCTGTGGGGGAATTGTTCTAGTGCTGCTGCTCAAGGGAGAAGCTAAGCCTGGACCAGGGAGGGAGAGGTGAGAAGGGGCTGCTCCCTGCACCAGGGAGGGAGAGATGTTTTGGGGCTTTGGTTTAAAACTCAACTTCCCTCCGCTCTGCAGCTGAGAAGCGGAAATTGGAGCTAGCTGAGAAGTATGCAGAGCTGAAGAGGAGTGGAAAGCTGGAGAGCTTCCTGAACAAGAAGAGGAAGAGGAATGCCATCAAAGACAAGCGCCATCTGCCCTCACAGAAGAACTTGTGACTGTTGGACAGTCGTGCTGCTGTCTGGCACTGGCTCGTTCTGCCTTGGCCAGGCCTGGAGGATGGTTATCCCTCTTCCCAGGATCTGCCTTCCACTGTACAGTGATGCTGTAAGGCAGCAGAGCAGGGGCTGAACTGAAGGAACTACTTTATTTTTGTAGCTGAAGTATCTGCTTTGCTTGTGGTGTAGATCATGCCTGGGTGGTGACAAGTGTGTCATGCAGATGCTGATGGTGATGACAGCTGGTTTTGCCCTTGCACCTGCTCATTTCTAACTCCAGCAAGGAAAGCGTGAGTCCTGCCCTACACTGCTGGCTCTACTCCAGGTTCTCTCAGACTTCCACTGAGGCAGAAAAGGATGTGGGACAATCCCTACTCAGAGCAGCAACCCTGACCAGGTTGCTCAGGGCTGCTTTGGTGGGATCTGGTAATGTCCAAGGACAGATGCCTTCACCTCTCTTGGCCTCTGCTCTACTGCTTCAGGTTCTCAAGATGGAACTTTTTGTTCCCTCATCCAGGAAACCTGCCTGGTGTTAGTCCACAATCATTATCTTATTGTCAGTGAAGTGCCTGGGTCTGTCTTCTCAGCAGCTTTGTCACAGGTCTGAGGGCTGGGTGGGAAAGGGGTGCTGTAAAGTCTCCCCAAAGTATTTTCTTCCTATGGGTGAATGAATCCTGTTTCCTCAGCCTTTCCTAGCAGTGCTCCAGCCTCTGACACCTTTCACAAACTCAACTGGAGTCAGCCCAGACAACCAACAGCTATCTTTAGGTGGCCCAGCATGGATCAGTGTCTGGAAGCAGTCTCACAAGAGATGAGTAAAGGTGAGAGGATCGCTCCTGTGGGCTGCTCCTGGTGATGCAGATCTAGGTGTGCCTGGCCTTCCTCACACACAGGGCATGCTGTGACTGCTCAGCTATTGCTGCTTGGGATCTCTCCTTCAGAGCAGCTTGGTTTCTCAGGGTCATCTCCACAGGGTTATTGGTGCTTCTAGGAAACTGATCTGTATGGAGTAAAGTACCTGTTTTCCTTTATTCCTACTGTCAGTTTGTTGCAGTCAAAAGTGTTTGACCTTAGGGGAGTCAGTGCCTCTCTCCAATATCCCACCAGCCCTCTTGCTTCTCCTTGTTCCTTTTTTCCCCTGTCTGCCATGGCTGTGCTGACAAGGGGATGGCTCGGGTAACCCCAGTGTGACAGGTCAGAGTGTGCTGGGAGACTGCCTGGGCACAGCTGTGCTCTGTGGGTGGCTACAGGTGTTTGGGGCCTGGGGACAGCCTTGCTGGGAGCAAAACATGGAGCAAGGAGCAGGTCAGCCAGCCTGAGGATGTTGCTGAACCACTTACCTCCACTGTAGTGCCTGTAGGTGATGCAAGTTCTGCTCTGGTGAGAGGACTTAGTGGAACTGGGGGAAGGCAGTAGACATGGGATGTGCCAGCTTGGCTAGAGACCTGCTGCCAGGGCCTCGCTGAGGGGTCGCTCCTCAGCATTCCTGACTCCCTGTGTCCCCATCCCCTGCTGCTTGTAGGTCTGGTGCAGCAGGTGCACCCCCAAAGTGGTCCTGCTTTCCCCTCCTGCCCCTCTGGAACTTAAGGTCTTCCTGCTGTAGCCTGTGCCTGCCTGCAAGGAGGACATCCTCGCTGGGATGTCACCTGCTTCTGCTCAGCACGGTGGTGGTGAGCAGTGAGCCTGTGGCCCGTGTGCCTGCCAGCTCCTGGCCCAGCAGCCTCAGCAGGGGAAGTTATCCAGTGGGAATGCATGGGGGATTTCCAGCTCAGCCAGGCCTGAGGTGCCACTCAGGGTAGGAGGGCAGGAGGCAGCATCACAGCACCAGCTCCAAGGGAAGCAGATGCTTCCAACATGCCCAGCAGCTGGGGAGTTGCTCTTTCCAGTAGCTTCCCAGCCTCAAGCAGTTGGCTTGTTTTCCTTTGTTCAAGGCAATTTGGGCAGATACGCACGGTGTCCCTGCAGCTGGAGTGAGAGCACTTGCTGTGGGTGTCCCTGGGCATGACTGGTCCCAGTTGATGTGACTGCACTGATGGCTGACAACACTGCCACACACCCTGTCAGTGACACCCTCAGAGCCCAACAGACCACACTCACATGACCTGTGGGCCAGGAGGAATGGCTCCAGAGCCAGTGGCCTGGGATGCTGTGCCCAGCCCTAGGTGGTCACTGAGTGAGCCTCTCCACATGCTCTGCTGCTGAACAGACACCCAGCCCCTTGAGGCCCCCAGAAGAGGGGGAGATCTGCCTGCTGGCAGGGACACAGACAGGAAAAGGCTGCAGGGCTCAGGTCTTTTATTGCAAAGAGGGAGATACAAAAAACGGACAGTCACCCCTTTTTGGGTCCCCCCAAGCCTGCAGCTGGCTGAGAGGGGTGACAACAGGGGGAGGGCCAGGCCTTGCTCCCCCTGCATGGGGACCTCGGCTCACACAGTGGGGAGCAGGCTGCTGCCAAGGACCACACTGGAGCCAGGGCCAACCACAACAGAAAAGTGGGTGACCCGCTGTGTCCCCGTGCAGCAGCCTGGCTGGCCAGAGAGCAGTGCTGCACAGGGAGCACTGGCAGGGAGCCTGGCACCGGGTGGGGCTGCCTGGCCTCACCCAGACACACCTCATGGCAGGCGGCCCTGGCCTCATCGCCTGCTCCGCTGTTTTACCAGGTGGGCTGCTCAGGTTCCAAACTGCTCTGCAGCCTTGCAGAGGGTGCTGAGGTTCCAAACTGCTCTGCAGCCTTGCAGAAGGTGCTGAGGTTCCAAACTGCTCTGCAGCCTTGCAGAGGCTGCTGAGGTTCCAAACTGCTCTGCAGCCTTGCAGAGGCTGCTGTGGGGGCCCTCGCCATGCGCCCCTCGGGGCCCTGGGCAGTTTCACCCAGGGGAGGAGGGAGCAGGGTCGTTGCCCTCTGTCCAGGCAGGGAGCTCCGCAGCCTGCCCCGGGTTTGTGGGTACGGCCAGGCGTGGGGATGGCCAGGCTGTAGCTCCTGCTGGCTCGTCACGTGTTGTCCTGGGCCAGCTCCTCGGGGCAGGCAGGCTGGTCCCGGGCCTTGCGCGGCCCCGAGGGTGGCTGGGCTGGGGTGCTGTGCTGCGGGTCCGGCCCCGGGGGCGCGTGGTGCTGGTGCCGCTGGTACTGCACGAACATGCAGACCTTCATCCCAATGGCCAGCATGTTCTTGCCCATGAAGATGCTGGAGACCCGGGCATCCCTGAAGAAGACCATGTTGCTGCCTCGGATGAAGATGGTGGCAATGTTGACGGTGAGCATGCTGAGCATGGGGTACAGCATCATGCGGTGCGGCACGATGCCGATGCCCTGCATGCTGATCTCGCACAGGGACACGCAGGGCAGGACCAGGAGCAGGATGTAGCAGTAGAAGAACATGATGCCCTCAGCCCAGAGCGGCAGCCCTTTCTTCTGGGGCTCCCACAGGTTGGCCTGGATGTCCAGCACGTCCAGCATGTCCACAATGACCCAGAAAAGGCGGTTGCGGAGATCCTCCTTCTTCTTGAATGTTCTGACGTACTCCATGTGCTCCGTGGCCACCAAGAGCACGTAGAGAGCTGGGATGCAGATGGAGAGCAGCAAGGTCAGCGCTTTGCGGGCAATGAGATCCAAGCTTTTCCGGTCAGCTTTGTAATTCTGGTATACAAAGTAGACTTTGATCTCCAGAACGAAGACGTAGAGGAACCAGAGGATCATGGCATATCCTCGCTTAGCTGTCTTTACCTCTGCCCCAACCCAGATAGCCACATAGCGGAGGACCAGCAGGAAGCAAATGTCACCCACTGCCACCATGACACAGATGCCCAGCTTCCTGGAGCCCTGGCTCTGCTCCACCAGGTAGGCATCCATGAGGACGAGGCTGGTCATGATGAGCACTGTGGAGAGGCACACGTGGGGCTTGCTGACAGGTGGTGGGGGAACCATCCTGCACAGAAGAACAGGCAGGGTCATCAGAAAGTTGCTGAGATTTCCCAGTCCCACCCTTGGGCCCCCTTCTGCCACCCTCTCCTCAACAGCTGTGGGTGGCTGAAAGAAGGGAGGGAGCCATTCATAGATTTCTCCCATCCTTTGTGCCTGGCTTGTTCCAAACTTGCAGATTTCTAGCCAAAGAGCTCCTGAGACCGACCAAGGCCAGCCTGGTGGCATGTGCTGGCTGAAAGCCAGCTCCTAGGAAGCACATGATGGGGCAGGCTGGACACCTGGGACATGTCAAGCACTTGGGATCCCACTGCCTTATCTGGTAGCTCATCACACTGACTAGGCTCTGGCACCATGAAGGGTACATGCCTTATTTTCCATGGGATTTCCCAGCCAGTGGTACTGCTTATATTTTCCCCCCTCAAGGCAAGCTAAGACTAGACTTACGTGTTTAACCCAAGAAGGCCCTTAAATGCTATGATCCAGGACCGCTTTTTTTAGTCTCTTTATTTTTATGCACAGCACAAGATGAAGCCTGGATTTTTTTAGCCTGGCTGTCTTGTAGGGTGGGAAGGAAAAAATTGGCTGGATATTCAGTTTCCTTCAGGTTCACACCCCCCGAGAGCTTTGCCTAGAGCTATTTGCCAATGCCCACCCTGCCCCAACACCACAAACCGAACGCAAGGAACAGCAGCACGAGCCCAAAGCTCCAGGACACAAGGAGCTCTGCAACAGGCCCTGAATTTCTGTGGGATGCTCAGCTTTCCTGGGCTGGGGCAGAGCAAAGCACTGTCCCCAAAAGCACCCTGCCTGCCTTGTGCGGCACCAGGGCTGTCAGACTCCCTCCCCCTGACCAAGCACAGCTGCAGGCAGCTGCCTTCAGAGGCAAGGAGGGAGGACAGAGCTGGGGCCTCACCAGGCAGAGAAGAACTTGGCAGCTGCTCTGGAGGGGAGCCAGCCCCCTGGATGAAAAGGAGGATGAAGCTGGGCTGATGACTGTGTGGCACAGCGCTGCCCACGCGGAGCCCGCCTCTGCCACGCCTGGGCTGTGCACGCCCGGGACACCATCCTGCTCATCCAGGGGGCAGCGTGCAGGTGGCACCTGAGCACGGAGCAAATGCTCGGGAGCAGGATGGAGGCCGCACGGTTCACGGTCAGCCCTGCACACGGCTGCTCCTGGTGCTGACACTGATGGCACAGGGCGCTGGGCACAAGCTACCTGAACTCCTGCTTTTTGGCTGAGGGAGCAGGCGTCCGGCGCAGTCGTGCATCCCTGGGCCCAGCAGCATCCTGGCACGTTGCGGGAGGCAGCGAAGCCTGAACCTGTCAGACACAGGTGCCTCTCAGGGGGAGGCAGCACAGGCCGGCGGGCATGGGGGAGCCCGTGGATGTGGCACATCTGGAGCATGCCACACGGCCGGCGGGGGGCTCACCCGCCTGGCCTGCCCGAGCCTCCGCGGGGGCTGGGGGTACCCCAGGCCCCGGCTCAGCACGGGGCTCAGCCCCAGGCCCCCAAGAGCGGGGCAGCCCCGCCGAGCTCCGTCCCTCGGGAGCGCCGGCCCCGCCTGCCCCGAGCCCCCCGCCCACAGCGGCCGGGCCTGCCGGGGGCAGGCGCTGCCCGCCGGCCGCGGGGCCCGGCCTGCCGCCCCCCCGGCTCCCGCTTACCTCGGGCGGCTCCCCGGGGCGCAGGGCGGCGGCGGCGGCCCCGGGCCCGGCGCGGCATCGCCCGGCGCGGCCCAGCGGCGGCGGCAGCGGTTCTGCGGCGGCGGCGGCGCTCGGCCCCTCCCGGCGGGCGGCGGGCGGGGACTGCGGCGGCCCCCGCCTCACCCGCGGGCCCGGCGCCGCCCGCAGCTCCTCCGGCTCCGGGCACCCTGGCCGGGCTCGCTGCCGCTGCCGCCCGGGACCACCGGCTGCATGGGCACCCTCTCCAGCCCCGGGCAGACCCGGACCCCGCAGGGCCGCAGCCCGGCAGAGGCCCCAGGCGAAGCAGCGGGAAGCCTGGCCTGACAAGGATATCAGCCCTCCGGGAGGGACTGGGGCCGCGACCGCTCCTTGCTGGGGGGCGAAGGCAGAGGAAACATGGCCTGACACCCAGCTGTGCCGGTCTGCAGCGTCCTGGAGAGCCCCAGCCTCACCCGGCTCTGGTACAGGTGGGCTAGGGAAGCAAAGCAGGCCAGGGAAGGCAAAAGGTTTCCATTACATGGTGGACACACCTCTCTGCAACTGCTCTCCTATCAGCCTGAGCAGCTTTTTGCATTTAACTCCACACTTTCTTCTAAGTGATTGAGGTGTTAGCTACACAGGGAAGGTTTTTCAGTGTATTTCCTCTCTGGCTTTGAAATGCTCATTGTAGATACATGTATTTTGGAAGACGGGAAAGCTCTAAGATCTCTGGAGATGGGCTATGGGCAAAACCAGGCATAGACCTAAGTGCAATTGACAGAGTGCCAGTGGAGGTGCAGCCCTCCTTGCATCCAGCTGCTGACAGAACAGCTGTACGGTCCCTGTTGGATGTAATCCCCTGGGGCATTGCCACCTGGAACACATAAATCTAACCTGTGGTGTCCTTGGAAAATGGAGACACTGGACCAGCATCCAGGCTTAGCTCACGTGTCCCACAGTGGGTGTGGACTGGTTGATGCAGGCAGGTGGAGGTCCTGAGTGAAGGGAGCAGAGCTCTGGGTTAGACAGGTGCAGCAAGGTAAGGAGTTTGGCTGTGGGAGCATTCTCCTAAGCCAGGAATAAACAGTAATCCCAGAAGGGCTGGCAGAGCAGGGAAACAAAGCAGCCAAAGCAACTTGCCTCCAAAAATGAAAGGAGACCTTGCAAGTCGAGTGGAGAGCAATGTGAGGCACAAGAGGGCAAGCTGACACTGCAGAAATCTCCTTTCCTCCAGGACACAGGAGCACTGGCTCTCACTATCCCAGCAGTCTCCTGCAGGATGCAGGAGGAGCAAAGGGCCTCTGTCCATGCAGTCACCCAGGGAGGGGGACACCACAGAGGTATCCACATGACAGAGGTGAGAGAGGGGTGCTGGAGGAACCTACCAAGCAATGGGGCTAAAGACCAGATGACTCATCCATGAGCTGGAATCATAAAACCCGAGTCTCTGCTGGAGACTAGGACAGGAGGTGACAACATTTGCGTGGGAAGCAGTAAAGAGCTGCTTTAACAAGGCACATAAAAATCAGGATCCAGAGCAAGAACAGATACTTGTGTGCTTGTCTAAAACACGACGCTGGAGCTGGGGTGCCAGAGTTGGTGTGTGGATGCATCTGTATGATGGATAAAATGGAAGGGAACCAGAGAGGGTACACCAGGGTTCCCAGCTGCTCTCTGGCTGCTGCCAGCTCCACACCTGGGTGGAGAAGCATCTTCAGCTTAGCCCATGAAATCTGCACTTTTGGTGCTGTGAAAAATGCGTATTTTATGATTGGCTTTTTGCAAATATTAAAATGAATATTATATGTGTTGCGTTAGAAAGTAATGCTGTATTCTCTTAATTAGTGTGTTAAATATAGTTTTAGGTTATAAAAAAATGTTAAAACAGAAACCGTGCTATGTAGGATACTTTTTTAAAAGAAGACTCGCAGCAAGATAGCAGTCACAGGACACCTGCATCTTTCAGAGAAAAATAATTTATTACCCTCTTTGCAGAAGAAACCAACTTCTTCCTGCCTCGAAGGCGCTGTTAGGATTCGGAGGAAGAAGTTGACTGATGACCAGACAGAATCCTGTGTTTGAATGGAATTTATGCATCATGTGTGAAGTGTATGAATATGCAACAGGCTGCTGTTTTTAAGGGTTAATCCTCTGTTAACGTGGGTCCTTTTTCGGGCTCATGCTGCCCAGAAAAAGGTACCTGGACTGTCTGTAACTCTTTGTCTCTATTAATTCAAATTGTCTAAATTATTATTACTCTAATTATATTACTATTTTTATAACCCTTTTATTACTATTAAATTTTTAAAATTTTAAAAACAAGTGATTGGCATTTTTCACAAGTGCCATCATTGGCACCAAAAAGTCCCTTTGCAGTGACAGCAATGCACTCAAAGGCTGTTGGGAGAGAGATAGGGAAATCCATCAGTCGTGTTAACATCCTCAAAGAGGAGCTGTGGGAAGCAGAGGAAGTTTGTCAGCAAGGAACAGCAAGCAGTGGCTGTAATGGAGAAAGGCAGGCAGTGGCCTGGGGACCGTGCTGAGAGCTTCAACTGTGACACATAAAAGAAAATAGGTAAAAATAAGCTTTTCTGAAGGCACATTTCAAATGGGTTGCTGAAGAGCATTTCCCTGATGTCCTCGAGGATCATATCCACAAGGAAGCAAACCTCAGCAGGTGGCTGGCACACAGAAAGGTCTCAGCATAAGAGGAGCTGGGAAGGCAGCTGAATGTGATGACAACTCTACCAGCCTCTGTTTAAGCTGGAAGATAACCAGGCTTTGGGACTTGCAGTGAAAAACACAGGATAATTTTTGACCTCAGAGAGTGGGAAAAGCCACCATGTGTGGAAGAGCACAGCTGTGAGTAGGTCGTGCTGTAGGCACAAAGTCAATATAACATGAAGACAGGAAAAAAATGAAGAGTGGGCTGTGCAGACGAGCCCCCAAATAAATAAAGCACATTGAAACAGCCTGAGAACAAATGTATAAATTCATCTGTAAAAAAGCCAGAAGGCCAAAAAACCCCCAAGTGATCTGCAAGAAGTACTTGAAGGGAACTGGCTGGAGGGAAAGAGGCAGAGAAATGCACCTCAGTCCCACTGAACATCCTTCCAGGGGAAACACAGCAGAAAAGAGGAACCTCATCAGCCAGAAACTGCAAGTGGTGGCTGTGACAGCTAAAGACCATTTATGACCTGGGGACCATGCCCTGAGCTCCAACAGCTCTGAGAAAGAATCACGGATTGTAAACCATGACACAGCCCCAGGGCAGAGCAGAGGTGGCTGGAAGTGATGGGCATCCTTCAGGAAGGTGGGGGAAAGGGGGAGCAGCAGGACTGCCAGCCCTTGGGAAGTGCCTGGAAGGCAGTCACCTCAGCAGGCTGCCCTGGGCTCAGCAGGGAGGTGCCTCTGGTCTCCTGGAACTGAAAATGCTGGAGCACTCAATGCTATTAAAGTACCCACAAATAGCCAGGAATGGTGACTCAGACTAGAAAGCAAATGGATGAAAGCAGACAGCTGGGGAGGGACTGCTGTGGGTTTTCTCAGGGTAAATCAAGACCCTGGAACTAGCAAGCTCCTCTGGAGCAGGCAGCTGCTGTTGGGGAAAGGCAGCGGTGATACCCAGCTGAGGTCAAACAATGATGGGTGAAAATGCTGTGAAAAAGGCCATGACCATTGTGACTCTCTCTGGCTGCAAAGCCAAGGTTTCCACATCAATTGGCAGAATGCTATGAAAATGCAGCTCATCCTTGGTCCAGCTGGTCTTACACAAAGGCCTCTGCTAAGATCCCCTAGAAAATGCTCTTAGAGAACCAAGGCTGTCAAGGGGGAAAGCAAAGGTTCTCTTGTGCATTAATGTCCCACTTCAAGGAAAGCAAATGCATTAAAGCAGCAATCAAGCTGTTTTGTGAGCAAGTCAGGAGATCTGGGCAACTCAGCTGTGATCCATGCCATTTATCAGATGCAGAAATGGGCTGGGAAGGTGGGCAGGGAACAAGAAGTAAAAGTCTGATGATGGTTCAGATTGTCCATCTAGTCAAACTGGAATCTGATGTGAATTCCCAGCATGTTACTGACTAACCTGAAACCTCAGCAGCAGGGCAAATGTAGACCTGACAAATGCAAGTAAAAAGAAGAGGTGCAAGGGGCAGACTACAAATTATACATCAGTATTCAGGAAGGTGCCCCTGAAACCATTTCCTGGTAATGTTTTGCAAACACAGTACTCAAGATTGACAGTAGAAACCATGGATGTTTTAGGCTGCTTTGCAAGCTTATACTGCTGCCACTTTGCTGAGCCTAATTCCTCCACTGGCATGAGCCACATTTTACAATCTGCCTGGAATTAACACTGCATCCATGTTAAAAACTCTGTCACTGCTAAATGCATTGAGAAGCACAGGTCCCTGCAGAAGCTGCTGGCTTTTCTTTGTTTTCTGGTTTGACCACTATTGACTTGGCTGTTTCTTTCACACAGTTTTCAAAGCAGCTCTTGGACCATCTCTGCTTCCTTTCAGGAGCCCTCAACCAGTACCACCCTATTATGATTATTTGATTTCTCTGACATCCCATTTTTTCAAGAGGCAGAGGCATTTCAGACAGATGGAGGCAAGGTACAGGAGGACACTTATATGCTTTCTACCAGAACAGAGTGCACTTGTCCAGCTGCAGTGTCACAGGCTTGCCCTCACCTCTGTCCCTAGGGATGCTCTGCCCTGCACATGCTTTATAATCTGCAACGCCTTCGGAGCTGTTGAAGCTCTGGGTATGGTCTCCGGGTCACAAATGGCTTTTGCCCATGACAGCCATCACTTGCAGCTTCTGGCCGACGAGGTTCCTCCTTTTGCTGCATTTCCCTGGAGACCTTTAGTGGGACTGAAGGGGATTTCTGCTTTTCTCCCTGCAGCGTGCTCGGAGTTCCCAAGTGTTTCGAGGAAAGAGTCAGTCAGAGGTCTCGGCTTCCTTTTGCTTTCAACCCGCCGTGCCCGCGGCTCCAGCTGCTCCGTTCCTCCTCAGGCACACCCGCCGGCCGGCCCTGCTGTTCCCCCCTGCGGGTACCCTCTCCCCGCGGCGCTCCACGGCTCGTGCAGGGCCGAGGCCTTGGCCAGCCCCGGGGATTCTCCGCCGCCGCGCGGGTGCGGGGACAGACGGACAGACCAGCCGAGCGGCGGGACGTGCGCCCGACCGCGCCCCTGGGCGCGCTCCCGGGGGCGGCGGCCGATGCGCTTTAAAGGGAGCGACGCCGCGCCCTCCTACCCCCGCCAAGCCGGGGCAACTGCGCCGCTCCCATTGGCTGGCCCCGCCCCGCCGACCTCTCCGATTGGACAGCGGCCGCCCCGGCCTCGCCTCTCGCTCGGCTCCGATTGGCTGTTTGCCATCAGTCGCGGTCCTCGCCCTTTCTCCCGGCTCCGGTTGGCTCGTGCCCGCGCCCTGGCCGCGCTCTGATTGGCCACGGGCCGCGAGGGAGCGGGGGCGCGCGCGCGCGCGCGCGCCGGGGTGGAGGCCGTCGCTGAGGCGAGGGGCTCGCGCCGCCCCCCAGCGCCAACGGCGGCGGCGGCGGCGGGATGGCGGCGATGGCGACGGCGGCGGCGAGCGGCGTGCTGGGCCCGGGCCCCGCCGCGGGGCCTCCGGCGCCAGCCGGCGGGGCGGCGGCGACAGCGACCGCGATGGCGATGGCCAGCCCGGTGCCGGTCCCAGTGCCCATGAACCTCTTCGCCACGTGGGAGATCGATCGGTCGGCGCCGAGCTGCGTGCCCAGGTGAGCCGCCCCGCCGCCGGGGCCGTGCGGAGCCCGGACACGAGCGGGGCCGGGCAGGAGGAGGCGGCCCCCGCAGCATCCCCGCTCCTCGGCGGCGCGGAGGCCCGGCCCAGGCAGCGGCTGATGCGCGGCGAGCCCCGGCGCTGGCCCCGCTGCGCTTCCAGCGGGAGCGGCCCCGGGGGGCGGCGGGCAGGGGGCACAGCGCCGGAGCGCGGCTGCGTTGCCTCCATGTTGCAGCCCCTGGCGAGTGCCTGCCGCGATGGCCGTGGGGCTCAGAAGGGGCTGTATCGTCGTGGCCGTGCTTGGGAAAGCTCCCTCTGTCCCCACGAAGTGAACGGTGATAGCCCTACAGCCGCTTCCGTGAAGCCAGGCAGCGGCCACCCGCATCCGTGGGCCTCTGTCATCTGCGCTCCAGACCTTAGGGAGCAGCAGGAAGGATTCACTGCTGCCAGCTGAACTTAGAGTTGTGTCTCTGGTAGAGCTGGGAGTCAAGCTGAGTGGTGTGGATGTCATCACTGCCAGTACGGCTAGATGTGCTTGTGAACACCTGTCTTGGAGCCAGAAGGTGCCTGGTGTGTTAACGAGGTGGGTGGGTGTCTTTTGGCTCACTCAGCAGACTCCGATCAGATCCTCTCATGAGAGTTACAGGGCAGGTTCAGGAAGTCACCGTAATTCCTTGTGTCTCTGGGCTGTGGTGTGTTGTCTGCAATGATGTATTCAAGTGTTTCGCAAAAATTAGAGGTGTAAAATTCAAGAGGGTGAGCAAAAAAACCCGTTCCTGTAGGGCAGCAGGATACCAGCCTTTGTGAAAGGGCTTTGCTAGATGAGTATGTGTGTACAGGGAAACTCAGTGACTGTGTGGCCAGATGGGCTGGAGTAGAAACGTTCCAAAATACTCCAAGCTACTAGAGAAAGCCTCTGTGATTGTGGTGCCCAAGGGAGTGCTGGGCTCGGCAGGCAGCAGATGTGAAGGAGTTTGCAACATGTGTCTGCTAAAAGCCTGTTCACCTTTTGATGACACATGCTGAGGCTGTTGTGCGGAGCAGGAAGCAAGTGATCATTTCATAGCTTTAAAGTGACTTGAGGTGTTGTTCATTTGTGGGCAGCTTACTCGCAGGCTGGAATTTGGAGAGCAGGACAGAATTATCAGGTTGACTTCCTGTAGAAAAAATTTGCATATGCAAAACACAGAGCTTAGTGATGGTGAAGGATGTGCATGTTTCACAAATGGAAGTGTTCCAGGAGCTAGGGAGAGGAGAACTGCTTTGGGCAAACCACGGACAGCATGACTGAGAATAGTGAGTCTGAGTGTAGAAGTGGGTTACACAGGTGGCAGGATGCCAGCGGGTGAGAAGTGATGTGTGATCAGTCTGAAAGTTGTTTGTAGAACTGGTTTTTGGCCCAGTGAATCCTGTGTCTCGTCACAAGGACAGTTTCCATTAGCATTGTGTAGATGCTTGTTCTAATGCACGAGCTTCTTTGTGTGCTGACAGCCCAGGGGGCAGCCATCTGACACA